TTTCTGTGTGCATCTTACAAACAAACACGCTTGCAAACAACAGCAGTTGGCAGGACTTCAGGAGGCCAAGAGAGCCCAGCTTTTCCCGGGGCCTCTCACAGCTTAGTGCAGAGGCTCAGACCAATTCTCACTGTTTAAAATCTGATTTTCCCTCCTGGCTCTGACAGGTTGGACAAATTACTTAATTTTCCTCTTTCTCAGTTCACTCCTCTGCATAATAGCTCTAATTATACCTACATCATGAGATGTTGTAAGGCTGAATGCATGTGAAAATAAGCCTGAATAAGTGCTGGTTGAAGCATAAAGCTCAATCTATCATCTGTCTGTCTGTCTGTCTATCAACTATCATCTGTCTATCTGTCTATCATCTGTCTGTCTATCTATCAACTATCATCTGTCTAGCTATCATCTGTCTAGCTATCATCTATCTCTATGTCTGTCTGTCTGTCTGTCTGTCTGTCTGTCTGTCTATCTACCTATCTATCTACCACAACTAAGTGAGTTTGAGAAGTGGGAGCTAGGCTACAAGAAACCCCATGCCTGGAAAGATAGACAGTAAGAATAACCTTTTTTTTTAATTGTGAAAATACCGTACAGAGGGGTTACAATTACATGGATAAGATAATGAGTGCATTTCTTATCAAGCATTGTTGCCTCCTCCTTTGTTTCCCCTTTCCATCCCTTCCCATCTCCTCCCCCACGACATCCCCCAAGAATAACCTTTATCTGTCACTCCTGATTCTGCTGGTGTCACCTTGCTCTGTGTGTGGTGTCGCTTGGTGATAGCACACATCTTGCACTGTGTGTGGTGTTGCTCGGTGATAGCACACTTTGCCTTGCTCTGTGTGTGGTGCCACTTGGTGATTGCACACATCTTGTACTGTGTGTGGTGATGCTTGGTGATAGCACAGGTCATCTTGCACTGTACATGGTGTTGCTCGGTGTAACACACGTCATCTTGCACTGTGTGTGGTGTCACTTGGTGATAGCACACATCATCTTGCTCTGTGTGTGGTGTCACTCAGTGTAACACACGTCGCCTTGCACTGTGTGTGGTGTCACTTGGTGTAACACATGTCGCCTTGTACTGTGTGTGGTGTGGCTTGGTGTAACACATAATATTGCTCTGAGTGTGGTATCACTGTGTGATTGCACACATTGCCTTGCACTGTGTGTGGTGTGACTCAGTGCAACACACATCTCTTTGCTCTCACAACACTAGGGCTCAGTCACCAGCACTGAGAAACAGAATGTGTATAAATTGCTCATGTCTGCAAATTGGCTCTCAGCATGACCAAAATTCTCAATTATACGAAAAAGGAGAGACCTGAGGATTACCACAACAAAGATTACAAATGGCAAGAAAACATCTAAAATAGACTTAATAGCTTAAGTCATCAACAAAATGCAAATTAAAACAGCAGTGAGATGCCAGTATACACTGTTTAGAAGAACAAAGTCCAGATGTAGAGACACTAGGGCTGGGAAGGGCTGGGGAGGGTGGGGAGGACCAGGGACAACCAGGGGGTAGAAGTGGTTCCCAGGGGACAGGGGGATGGTCCTTGGGGATGGGGATGATCCCCAGAGGATGGGGGGATGGACCCTGGGAGATAGGGGATGGTCCCAGGGGGTGCAGGGATGGTGCAGGGTGGTCTCTGAGGAGGTGGTCCCTGGGGACAGTCTTCGGTGGGGGACCATCTATACAAAACAATGGATTTACTGCTGGTGAAATATGAAGTTTGTTCATGAAATCCTTTTAATGCCAACTTATGGAGCTTGGATTGTATGATATAGGTAATCAGAAATTACTTTTTAAAACTTAAACCTAAGCATTGTCAAGATGGCGCTGGCAGTGGCTTCACAGAAATAGACTTGGAGGGTCCAGGCTGGGGCAGGACAGCAGGTGAGGAGGGGACAGGGCAGGACGGCGGGTGAGGAGGGACAGGACCAGGCAGGGTGGTGGGTTAATGGGCTGCTATCATTGGAGCGGGTGTGCTTTGAGAGCAAATACTTACAGTAAGTATTTAGCAGGCTTTGATGGCAGAGGAGAGGAGGACACAGTGAGCCGAGGCCCAGGGTCCAGGCAGCCAGTGGTACGGATGGGGGAACTGAGGAGAGAGGTGATGGGCCAGGCGGTGGCAAAGCTGAGCGGAGTCCCAACCAGAAGCCCCAGGAGACATCAGAGCCAGATTCTGACTTAGGAGAAAAGAAGCTGCAACCAGAATAATCCTGTGGGTGCCCCAGTGAGCAAAGGCAGGCAAACCGCTCCCCTCTGGGCACCATAGTTTCAAAAATGAGTGTAGAAAGAGGTGGAGGGAAACAGAGGGGCGGTGCGAAAGCAAGCGGTAAGAGGAGGTGGATCTCCACGCGACAGGAGCTGCTGCACCACGTGGATGCAAGGTGGCATGAAGGACACGGCTCCTGAGATGGGGTTGGGAGGCTCCAGCCAGAGCCATTTGGGTCAGGAGTGCTGGCAGGGAGTGGGGGCAGCTGTGGAGCCCCAGGAAGCCAGGGTGTCTTTGGAAATGCTTTGATGTGAGAAGAGACCAGGCTGGGGGAGAAGGAGGAAGTGGGTGGGGGAAAGAAGAGGAGGAGGGGGGAGGGGAGGAGAGTGATTACTACATGCCCATGCGGCAGGGGAGAGGCCAGGTATCCTGGCTGGGACAGTCTCCTTCCCTTGAGTGGAGAGAGGGGCCTGGGCGCCGCAGCACCGGTGAGTCACAGTTGAGTTTGTGCCCTGGCAGGCAGTGGGCCTGGCTGAGGGGTGAGGCTGGAGAGAGCCGATTGGCCGCTCCAGCCAGGCAAGGTCCCGGAGGGGACTTGGGGAGGCCCATTGGCTGCATGGGCACTTGAAATGTTATTTTTAACTTCCCCACAGGAGAGAACAGCTTTTTTTTTTTCCTGGTTGCTAGGGAAATTGTGCTGTGCACAGTTACACATGGCTCCTAGAAGTCTTAGGGAAATCAGAAAGCGTTAGAAGCCGTACTGGCATGTGGTGCTTGGACCATCCACCGGCCAGGACGCAGCCCCTCGCCTCTTCAGGATGATCTGGGCTGGCCTACTGGCCCAGTCAGGAAGCCAGCTCAGGACTGGGGGAAGGAACTGGGATGGGGGACGGGCCACACTCACATCATGGCACAGGGCAGGGTGAATCTGACTAGAGCAGAGGTCTCCTGAAGAACATTGAGGTGATCGTCTCTACTGGGTTAGTTATCACATCGTGTTTAAACGTGGCTAAACACATGGCAGCGGTGGTTGAGCGTCTCCCTCCTCTCTACCACACTCCACGGCTGGACCAATCCCCACCGCAGGCCCAAGGGAACCTTCAGAAATTACTCAGACCAGACAATCTCAACGGGCTTCTTTGTGTCCGTATGACGTATGATGGAGTCTATCCGAGTGATAGGGTTGAGTGGCTGCACCAGAGGGTTTTTTAAAATTATTATTATCTTTAAGTGGTTATACAAAGAGGTTCCCATTCTATAAAACAGTATAGAAATACAAGGTGTCCGACACCATTGTCACCTATCCCTCCTAGCCCACCCTTCTCTCACTTTTCTTCTTTTTTTTTTTTAATTGAGATTAGGTGATTACATAAATTTCACATATTTCACAGTATTGTGGAAGAGTGATACTTAGTTAAAGTTACAAACACATTTTAACCTTCACAAGGCATATTGTCATTATCATGATCTATAAAGTTTTTTTTGTTTTTTTTTAATTTTTTTATTGTAAAGATACTATACAGAGGGTTACAGTTACATGAGTGAGGTAATGAGTACACTTCCTCTTGAACATTGTTACCCCCTCCGTTGTTTTCCCCCTACCATCCCCTCCCTTCCTCCCTTCCCCAAGGTTCTTTTTTTTTGTGATTAAGTGATTACATAATTTCTGGAATTTCACAGTATTGTGGAATAATGATGTTCATTTAAAGTCACAAGTTCATTCTAACTTTCCTGGAGCAAATTGTCTATCACAGTCTGTAACATATAACGGTGTTCACATGTTATATACCATATATGTGATCAGCAACATGGGGATATTTAGTAGTGGTTCAACCAGATGAGTGGGAGTTCTTTGTTTCTTAAGTCCTGTTAGTTTTGTCGTATCGCCTAACATTTTGGATTTAGCATCCGCTTATCAGGGAGACCATGTACCGTTTGTCTCTTCGTTCTTGGCTTACCTCGCTCAACATGATTCCTTCTAGCTCCATCCATTTCCCTGCAAATGCCATTGTTTTGTCATTTCTAATGGCTGCATAATATTCATTGTGTATAGATACCACAATTTTTGGATCCATTCATCTGTGGTGGGGCATCTGGGTTGTTTCCATATCCTAGCTATTGTGTCTATAAAGTTTTGTACCAGAGTTTTTTTGTTTTGTTTTGTTTTTGTCAATCATGGGGCCTGAACTCTAGGACTGGGCGCTGTCCCTCAGCTCTTCAGCTGTAGACTAGTGCTCTACCACTTGAGCCTCAGCCCCACTTCTGGCTTTTTCTGCTTATGTGGTGCTGAGGAATCAAACCGAGGGTCTCATGCATGCAAGGCAAGCGCTCTACCACTGAGCCACCTTCCCAGCTCCTGTACCAGCATTTTGATAGAAGAGTAGCAGAGAAGTGGCACAGATTGCCCCCAGGCAGAGCTGCCCCTGTGGTGGGGTGGGGCACAGGCAGTGCACTGCCATGCTGCCCGTCCCTGGTGCATCATAGCTCAGGGAAGGCCAGTTCATGTGGACATGACCCTGTGGGCCTCTCTCTTCTGTCCATGTGGATGTGACCCTGCAGGCCTCTCCCATCCGTGTGGACGTGATTCTGCGGGCCTCTCCTATCAGTCTAGTTTGTGTTGACCTCTCCGATCACTCATGCAGGTGGTACCAGGACAGGGCTGCTCATAGAACATAAGATGAATACACGGGGACAGGTGGGATGAAATGGTTCTCTGGCCAAGGTGACTATGTACTAATGGTGATCTTGGAAAGATCGTTTGATCAGTGTGACTAGGACAAGGGCTTTCCCCTCACCATCATCCTCATCTTCAACCTCATCACCATCACCATCATCACCATCCTTACCATCACCATCGCCTCCAGCATCCTTGGCTCATTTTTATCAGCATCACCTCATTGTCCTCCTGACCACCGGCCTCGTTCACCGCCATCACCTCCTATCACCGCAGCCCTTGCCCAACCTCACCAGCATTGCTCTGTCACCCATGCCAGGCCTCCTGGGAAGTTGGCTGCAGTGAGCCCCCGCCCTGCCGTGAAGGCCTCCAGCAGACAGCCCAGCCCAGAGCAGGAAGAAGCTCGGGTTTGGGGACAGTTTCCCCAGCGGGCCTGCCTGAAGAGTGCAGGTGTTCCAAGTTCTCTTTTGTTCTGCGTTTCTTTCCCCTTCCTGGGGGAAGAGTGGAAGAGGGGACTCGGGTGCTGCTAGAGAGACCCCCAGCTGGCTAAGATGCTACGTCATGCAGAAAGGAGCCTCGTGGCCCAGGTTTCCCAGAAGAATAAATCAAATCAAGTAATAGAGCAGGCAGCCAGCCAAGTGAGATGGGCTCAACCCTGGATATTAATGAGCCTGTTACCCTAGACAGATACATTTAATCAAGCAGCGTAGATCCTCGTTCACACACTGATTGGGCTGGCCTGGTGCCCAAAGTGGCTTGACTGTGTCATCTCCTGTGAACAGGGCAGGAGGGGGCCTCCCAGCATGCAGCGGGGCCCAGAGTAAACCATGGCCTCCCAGCACACAGCAGGGCCCTGGTTGATCCACAGCCTCCCAGCATGCAGCGGTGTCCAGGAGAGCAGAGTAAGGTGGGACTGGAAAGGCATCAAAGTGGGGCTTGGGAGATGGAGAGGAGAAAGAGGAAGAGGAAAAGAGGAAGAGAAGGAGATAAGGAGAGGGGTGATGAGAGAGAGGGAAGGAGGAAGGAGGTGGAGAATCCTGGGGAGGGAGGGAGGAGGTAGGGGCATCCCCAGGAGGGAGAGAGGAGGAGGGAGAGACCATGGGGAGGGAGGGAGGGAGGAGGTGGGGGGAACCTGCAGAGGGAGGACAGGGTCGGTCTGCTCCAAGCCCGCTCTGCAGGTGCCAGTATGCATAGAACAGTACCTGGACATCCCACACTGCTACTTCAGTGGCTGAACAAGGTTTCAGAATTTCCATCTCAGCATAAGCATGCCACATTAGCACCACAGCATCTTGTGTTTGATAGTATGACATAAACTGAGGAAATAATAAGATAGTCCATGAATATGCATTTCCTGTCTCACCTGGAGGACAGCAAGTCTTCCCAGGTGCTCTCTAACCACCTGCGAAGTGCTCCCTGTCTCCAGAGCATGATTCCTGGCTCTGAGGTCAGGAGACGGGCGGCAGGGCCGGGACAGCGACCATGAGAGACAGACCATGGTGCTGGTATCTGCCATACACCCCACCTGCCCTGGGGTGAGAGCAAGGCCACACTGAAGCTTTTTGAAAAAGTATATGACTGCCATATACCCCACCTGCCCTAGGGTGAGAGCAAGGCCACACTGAAGCTTTTTGAAAAAGTATATGATTCAAAGGCTTCTGTATGTTTGCCAAGTTGTGTGCCATCACCAAGCCTGATTTTAGAATACTTTCATCATTTATAAAGAAAACCTACACCCCATAACTGTGACTCCTCATTAACCCCAATGCCATATTCTCCCCTCTCCCAGGCTGTGAAGGTCATTGGTCTTCCTCTATCATTATGATCTGCCTTCTTGACATTTCATACAAAAGAAATCCTACAGTATGTGCTCTTCTGTGACTGACATCTTGTGCTTTGCATCACGCTGTTTTCTTTATTTTTCTTTTTTTCTTGTTTTTGATTATTAATACATTTTTTATTGTGAAAATACCGTACAGAGGGGTTACAATTACATGAGCAAGGTAATGAGTACATTTCTTATCAAGCATTGTTGCCTCCTCCTTTGTTTTGCCCCTACCATCCCTGCCCTCCCATAACATCTTGTACATCTCATTGTGAAGTAAGCCAGGCCCAAAGAAACAAAGGTCCCGTGGTTTCCCTTATTTGCAATAACTAGTATATGTCTGAGACAAGCACAAACAGTCAGATAAGTTGATTTTAGGCAAAATGAACCACAAGATAAGGACTCAAATGGCTTTTCTTTCTTGCTATTGTTTCTAACATATTTATAAGATGATTTCTTTGTTGCTTTGTATGTCACTCCCCCATGGTATAACCTTTCACTGTATTTAATGTTGGTATAATTTGTGGAGGGGAAGGGAAAAAACAAATTGTTTAAATAGGGATATAGGTTGACCCACTGAAACAATGAGGTGTATAAGAAGTTATGTCTTTCTTTTTTCTTTTCTTTCTTCATCCTCTCCCTCCCTTATTCATTCATTTATTCATTCTTTTCTCTTTGCAGTGATAGGGATCGAACCCAGGGCCTCACATGCACAAAACAAATACCCTACCACCAAGATACCCAGCCCTTAAATAAATGTTGTTCTTACCATGCTCAAAAGACAGTCTAGAGAGTGGGGAAAGATCTTTGCCAGCTTTATATCTGACAAGGACCTAACAACCAGAACATACAAGGAACTCAAGAAAAGTGATCCCCCCAAAATCGATAATCCAATTAATAATAAGAAAAGGAGCTAAACAGAGACTACTCAGCAGAAGTGAGACCAGCCAATAAACACATGAAGAAATGCTCAACATCATTCGCCATAAAGGAAATGTAAATTAAGACAATGTTGAGATTCCATCTCATCCTGTAAGACTGACCATCATCAAGAATTCAAATGAGAACAAATGCCAGTAGGGATATGGAGAAAAAAGAACCCTATTGCACTGTTGGTGAGCATGTAAACTAGTGCTATCAACATGGAAGGCATTTTGGAGATTCCTCAAAAAACTAAGCACACAACTTCCCTATGATTCGGTGATACCACACCTGGTCTTCTAGCTGAATGATCACAAGTCAGGATATAGTAAAGACACTTGCACACCCATGTTCGTTGCTATATTATGCACCACAGCCAAGCTATGTATACAGCCCATGCAATGGATGAGTGGATCAAGAAAATGTGAAATGCACACATACAAATAGCCTCTTACTCATCTGTCAGAAATGTCAGGAACATGGATGGACTTGGAAAAATTATGTCACATGAAGTAGCTCAGGCTCAGAGTGGCAAAGAATAGATGTTTTCCTTTATATGTGGAAGTGAAATCTAAACTATAAACATATGTTGGATGACACAAATGAATGGACTAAAGGGGGGTCTAATGGTGCAACTCCTCTGAACAACTAATGAATAATTTAATAAAATGCATACCAGAAAGTTGACACGTGCTTTGTTGGGAGCAGGGGGTGGGGAGGCAAGGGGGAATAAGATAGATGGAGAGAGGAAGGGCAGGCAAGGGCAGTCATTATTCAATGTCCATAAGCAAAATGGAACCATGTAACTTGAGGGTGTGGCTGGGTGGGGAGAGATGAGAAGGATGGAAGGGAGAGGCCAATCAAGAGCACTGTACTCAGTCAGATGCTGAGTTGAAATCCCTTTGTGCAACTGCTTAAAGCTAATTATAATCATAAATAATCTTAAAAAGTAGCCATAAAAATTAGGTTCTGAGATGAATTCTCATCAACTTGCTCATACTGGTCTGGAGCTCCTGTGTGGCCTCGGCCAGAGCTGGGATTATGTAGCACCATCTTATGGAAGCTTCTGTGAAATTTTCTGTCCAGATTACTTCCAGGAGGGCATCCGTGGCCGGCGAGGGTGGGGCAATTCTGGAACGCAGAGCCCCACAGAGGCTGATGGGGAGCCTGGCACAGACTGGGTCTTCTGGGATTGAGGGAGGGTAAGGTAGGACGGTGTGAGGATGGTGGAAGAGGCAGAGCTCAGGCCGAGAAGAACCAAGTGACAGGGATGCAGCTCTGGAGGCCACTAAAGAATTGTCTAGAAGTCAGGTGCTCTAGATCTTAGGAGGCTGAGATCTGAGGACTACAGTTCAAAGTCAGCCTGGGCTGACAAATCTGCGAACTTCTCATCTGGCTACAAAGCAGGACATTGCCTCAGAAAAGAAAAGAAATGCTGTCATCTACTAGGACTGGGTCATGATTGGGAGAGATCTGGATGCCGACACTCAGGAAGAGAAGAGCACACAAATGCCAAGGCAGAGGCCAACGAGAGAGACCTCAGGGAGCAGTGCTCCGGCAGTGGCATTGGTGGACATCTGGCCTCCATGGACGTCTGTGGACACCTGGCCTCTGTGGATGTTGGTAGACACCTGGCCTCCATGGAGGTCCAGCCTGGGGGAGGGGAGGGTGGAGAGGAATGGAGATCTTTTAAGTCCCATGATCTGCAAGGCTGTGTTACGGCAGCCCTGGATATGGATACTGTTGGTACAGAACAGATTGATCATTCAAAGGGGAGGCCAGACTCCGCAGAGCTTGGGTGTGAGTGGACAGCACTGCCCCTTCCTGCCAAGGGTCCGTAACTCCTGGAAGAACCAGATGACTCTGCCATCGGGAACTCGCTCCTTTTGGCAACCTAAAATCTCAGGGGTTAAATGCAGGAGGTGTTAGAAAATAAGATGAGGAAGGCCACTGTTCTAACAAGTGCTTCCTTATTTCTTCTTCTGGGAACCTGCAGAATGAATGTGTGAAATTCTGTCTCTATTTAGGGTGTTGTTGCTTCCAAAGGCTCAGCTGCCATCCTGGAGCTGGGAGATGGTGGGGGAGGAGGGAGCAGAGCCACAGCCTGGGCTGCTGCCTTTCCTCCTGACCATCCCCCCACAGCCGTGGAAGATCACCACCACCACCACCATCATCATCATCACCACCGCCACCATCACCAACCACAGGTTCCCATCCCCGGGAGCATGTGAGGTCTGAAGGACTTCAGCCTCCTTTTCAGTCTGAAAAGCACCCTATTTCCTGCCAGGCTGTGGTACAAAAGGGATGGAGAGGTACAGTGTCCTCAGGTCCCTCCTGTGCCTGGCCCCCACTTTCTGTGACACTGCTCACTGCCCCCATCATCCACAACTATTCACCACAGCGCAGCCGTGCCCCTCACTTAGAAGGGAACGGTAGGAGCATCCCTGGAGGTCATCACACTCTGGGCCATATCTGGTGACCTCCTGTCACTCCCTGCCATGCTTAGGGAGTGTGGATTTCCTTCCATGAGGTCTCCACACCCCTCACTCCCTAGGAGCCAAATCTCTGGCATGAGGCTGGCAACAGTACTTGCTTGCTCACTGACGGACTGACTGATGGCAGAAAGGACCTGAGGTTGAATGACAAGTCCTGATCCAGCTGGGCACCAGTGGCTCACGCCTGTAATTCTAGCTACTCAGGAGGCTGCGATCTGAGGATCATGGTTCAAACGCCAGCCCAGGCAGGAAAGTCCATGAAACTCCTATCTCCAATAAACTACCAGAAAACCAGAAGTGGCGCTGTAGCTCAAGTGGTAGAGAGCTAGCCTTGAGCTGAAGAGTTGAGGGACAGTGCTTAGGCCCAGAGTTCAAGCCCCAAGACCAACAAAAAAAAAAGGTCCTGATCCAGAGTGGACAGTGTACACCCTGTACAAATGCTCTTGTATACCCTGTACAAATGCTCTTGTACACCCTGTACGAATGCTCTTGTACACCCTGTACAAATGTTCTTGTACACCCTGTACAAATGCTCTTGTATACCCTGAACGAGTATTCTTGCACACTGTAGGAATGTTCTTGCACACACCATAGGAACGTTCTCGCTTACACACCGTAGGAATGTTCTCGCATACGCACTGTAAGAGTGCTCTCAAGTACATACTGTGTGAGTGTTCTTGTGAGATGACTTACACTCTCATCCAGCCTCATCACCATGCTCGGAGTGGCCCAGTGTGTTTGCTGAATGGTTTTCCGCCAAGCCCGCGTCTTGGGTGTCACCATGGCCATGCCTGGCCTCTTCCCTGCTCCACCCCCAGCAGGCCTTCTCTGGGCCAGCATGCTGGCACCTTCCCAGCAGGGTCCTGTCTGCAGGCACCATGGGGAACAGATGGCTCCTGTCAGAGGAGAAAAGGGAGGCAGCGTGGGCCTTTGCTCGGCCTGCGTCTCACCTCGGTGCCTTATAATGGCGGCTTTAATTACCCAGGTAAGGAGTGCTTCTTCCCCAACCTCTTCAACTCGCTGAGCCAATTTCCACATCATAAAATAGAGATCAAATATCAATCTTGCCTTAGCTTTGTGGTAAGAATTAAATAAGGAATAGTATTATGTAATAGTTATAGGGCTTGTATAAGTAATTATTCATAATTTCTATACATTAAAAATGTGGCAGTAAAAAAAAAAGAAACTACAAGAATGAAGAAGAAAAAAAAAATGTGGCAGTACACATCTGTAATTCCAGCCCATGCAAAACGAAGGCAAGAAGATGGACAGTTTGGGATCAAACAGGCTGCAGAATGAGATCTTGTCTCAAAAAGAAAAGACAAAAAAAGAACTAAGTAAGGCAGTGTACACTTGTATTCCTGCCACTAGGAGTCAGAGACAGGAGGATCATAGTCTAAGGTTGGCCCAGGCAAGAGAAATCCTATCTGAAAAATCAACTAACGCAAAAAGGATTTGTGGTGAAGCTCCAGTGGTAGAGTGCCCGCCTGGCAAGCTAGGGAGCTGGAGTTCAAACTCTCGTACCACCAGAGACAAAGACCTCACTAGGCTTGGTCTTGGGAAAACCTGGAGTGCATCACAGAAGGATGCTCAGGTTACAGAGGATCAAACTGGTTACACAAACAGAAGCCTCACTCCCCTCATTCCTTTCCCCAACTCACCTGGGAAGCAGCTTTATCTGCACATTACCTGCCATGGCTCTGTGTCTCCAAACTCAGAAGCATCTGGAAGTCTGCAGGCCTCTACATCTGGGAATCAGTAACTCTGGGCTCTGGCCCCCAGGCTGAGGAAAACCCACTTCAGTTCAGCGTGGTGTCAGTGCAGTGAGCAGAAGAGCTTCGAGACCAGAGCTAAAGGTAAGTCCTTTGGGCTCCTGGGTCCAGAGCTGGACTCTGGAGGCTGGTGTCAGGGATCTGGATCTCGCTGGTGCCGGGATGGGGGTGGGGGGAGGAGTGGGGAGTGGTGAGTCACCAATGACCCCACAAATCGGTGCCTCAATCACCTGCTCCCTGTGCTGTGTCCCCTTGCTGTCCTCCGGGTGCTGCTGGCCTGGCCTACGGCATATGGGAGGACCTTTGAGAAGACAAGGGCCTGTGAGGGGTGGGGGAAGACTGAGTCCAAATGGAAAGTCAGACCCACCAATCCTGGAGGCCAGTGTGGAGGGCAAATACCACCCCCCCCCCAAAAAAAACAAAAAAACCATGGGTGCCAAACCTTGCACAAGACCTGGAAGGAGCACAGCCTTCTGTGGACCCTGCTGCCATGAAACTCCGAGCGTGGGTGCTCCTGAGGCCTGGCTGCATGGCCTCGCAGCGGTGGGGAGGAGTGCAGATGGGGAAGGGCACCGTCGGCACTGTCGGCGTCTTTCTGGCATGGCTGTCGGGAGCAGGGAGGAAGGGATGTACACACAGCTGTGGTGACGGGACGTCCAAAGGGCTCAGGGCCAACACCAGGGTCAGCGCCAGGGAGCGGAGGCATGCTGGGCATTCATTTTGTTGTCACTGTTGCTGTTTGTCATGACGGTTCTTACAAGGCCACCCAGGCTATCCTTGAGCTCTTGATCTGCTGCCTCAGCCTCCTGTACTGAGATTACAGGTGTGTACTCCCGACCTGGTTTTTATATTCATAGAGAACGGAGCCATGAGATAAGAGATGACTGCCGCTGAAAACAGAGACAGCCATGGATCCAGGGAGAGGCAGCATGCCTCAGGGCTGGTCAGGAACAGGGAGTGGGCTGGGGGTCAGAGCTTTCCTTGTGATTCTCACAGAAGGAATCCTGAGACCAGGCTCAGCTTTATCTGCATATCACCTGCCTTGTCCTTGTGTTTCTAAACGCAGAAGGGTTTGGCATCTCTTTGGTGGCATCTGGGTCTGACAAATGCCACCTGCCAACGTCCCCACTCATGTACAGGAAGCATGGATGACACAGAACCCCATCTCAGTGACCTAAGTCACAAAGCAAAACAGAAGTACACCTTCCAGCTGGAAAAGGCTCCAGGAGGGCTGCAGCACTGGGGTCCCATGACCTCAGGCTTTTGTTGGGGCCCATGGATGGGAGCAGGTAGGGTCCATGGACAGGAGGAAGCGGGGCCTGTGGACAGGACAGGGTAGAAATTGCTTCCTGAGCACCAGTCAGACTTAGGGGTTCGCAGGAAATGTGGCTTTATTTTGACATTGCAGAATGCCAGGCCCAGCAACACTCCTTCCCCTGGGAGAAGGCAAAGATGCCCCCCTGGGGAGGAGGACAGAGGAACAGAAGGATGGAGAAGCAGGGAGGAAGAGAGGAGTCAAAAGAAAATGAGCCAAGAGGCAGGAGAAAACGCTGGGGAAATCTACTGCAACTGATGCGCTGCTCCTAGGGACCCGGAGAATAACAATAGAGTTCATTAGTGTAGAGATTTAATTCTCACAGCAGCTCTGAGATAATAAGCAACAAAGCTGTCACTTTATTTCACCCATGGAAGATGCCAATATTTAAAAATTGGCATTATCCTCGTGTGTCATACAGCCAGACAGGAATCTATCCAGGATCTTACAGCACCACTTACATGGAAAACTCCTCCGGTGGCTGTTTTGTGACCTCCTGTCCTGCCAGCAGGCTGCCTGCCTGAATGTCTCTCCCTTGCTGTCCCTCAGATGGTCATGTTAGACTCAAACTCGAGACCCTGAGCAACCCCCGGAGACCATGACCAATGCAAATAGCAAAAGAGTCATTTATTTGCAAGCTCGAGCTTGGACTCACAATCATCACCAATGCAGCGGGTCAGAGTTGTGAGCCCTGACCCCTTGTCCAGCATGGTTTTTATTGAACATATAGCAGGGGGAAGGATGTCTTAAGCTCATTGGTTAGGAGTATGATCATTTCCAGTAAGGGCAGGGACTTTCTAGCTTAGCGGTTACAGGATAGGTTAAATCATACATCATTGGTTGGATAAGTGGGGCTAACCACAGGAATGTTGAATTATGTCTTGTCTCAAATGTTCTCTCGGCAGAGTTGGGCGGAGAGACTGACCAAATTCCTGGACTGGTCAGGGCAAACTGATCCCTTAATAATTCTTACTGTTATCTTGCCTTGGTGCAGGATCTAACACTTACTTTCCAGTAACAGATGACAAATGTTTTAGTTTTGTCTGAAATTACTACTAAACTTATTTTTGGTCTCTCAGTCATAGTCAGATGTCAGCAGGGCTGTGGTGTCTGATCAATGGACAGCGGTGCTGGCCCCTTGCAGGCAGAGAAACTGCTGCAGACAGGCCATCAGCAGGGAGCCCTAGGGGCCTGCCCCAGGACCCCAGAAGCCTCCACGGCTGGTCCTCCTACACACGGTGTCCAGAGGTAGCCACACGAGTGTGCGGGTAGAGAAGCCGTGGCCTTCCATTAGAGAGTGTCAGACAGTCCAGAGCAAGACCTCTAGTGCCTTCTAAACTGGCCAAGTCTGCACTAAGGGAAAGGTAATGGGATCCACCTACGTTTTGTCCTGAGGAGTCTCGTGCACACACCAGGAGGGAGGACTGTCTCTGACTGGAGCGGCCATCATCTCACACATCCATCATCTCACCTCTAGCTCATCTGTCAGAGCTGGGCCTCCCTCCCCCCTCCTCCCTACTGCCTGATGCGCAGGAGGCTGTGCTTCTCCCTGAGCCTCAGAACAGAGCGCAGCACAGCCTCATCTGCCTGGAAACATCTTCCTAGGCTCTGCTGGGCACTCCCCAAGTACCCCATGGGGTGGAGTCCTGAACTGGACTCTCACTCCCTGAGGGCTACACAGGGCCGAGTCAGTGGGGTCATGAGCTGGCCAGGCTCCATGTCCCCCCATGGACAGATGTCTGTCACTCATCAGCAAGGGAAGCAGGGCTACCTACAGCAGTGGAGTGAGGCCCACGAGACTCCAGAAAGCGGGAGGAGGGTCAGAGGAAATTCCCTGGGCAGCCCACCCAAAATGCTGGGGAAGGGACGAGCCAGAGCTTTTAGGGTGACTAGGGATGAGGTCTGGGGGAGAACTCTGGGAGGAGCCCGTAGAAGAAAACAGGAATGGATGCATCTCTTTGAAAGGCCATGGAAAGGCCGACAGCCGATTCCTCACAAAAACGATGGAAGCAGAATGCAAAGTTCTGGCCAGCATTTCCTTCTGCTCGAGGAAAACCGTGCCTGTGAGGGCTCACCTTCACAGCGAAGATGCTTTCAGACACAGCTTCATGCCTGAACCTGAGGGATGGCTACAAGGAGTCTTGAGCAAAAGAGAGTCCCAGGCAGGTGCTGAGCACAGGAGACATGTGTGGGTGAGTGAGGACATGCGTGCGGGTGAGTGAGGGCGTGCATGCGGGTGAGAGTGAGGACACACAAGCAGTTGAGTAAGGATGCTTGTGCAGGTGAGTGGGGACATGCGTGCGGGTGCGTGGGGACACACGTATGGGTGAGGGATGGGACGTGTGCAGGTGAGTGAGGACACATGTGTGGGTGAGTGAGGAGATGCCTGTGGGTGAGTGAGATGTGTGCGGGTGAGGACACACATGCGGGTGAGTGGGGATGCGGGTGCAGGTGAGTAAGGGCGTGCATGCATGTGAGTGAAGAGACGTGTGCGGGTGAGTGAGGACATGTGTGTGGGTGAGTGACGAGACATGTGTGGGTGAGTGAGGATGGCTGTGGGTGAGGACACATGTGTGGGTGAGTGAGGATGCCTGTGGGTGAGGAGATGTATGCGGGTGAGTGGGGACGCGCATGCGGGTAAGTGAGATGTGTGCGGGTTGAGTGAGGATGCATGTGTGGGTGAGGACGCGAGTATGGGTGAGGACACAGGTGTGAGTGAGTGAGGACACACATGTGGGTGAGTGAGGAGATGTGTGTGGGTGAGTGACGAGACATGTGTGGGTGAGTGAGATGTGTGCAGGTTGAGTGAGGGCGCATGTGCGGGTGAGTGAGGACAGACGTGTGAGTGAGGAGATGTGTGTGGGTGAGTGGGGACCCACATGCAGGTGAGTGAGATGT